AATTGAGGAAGACACAAAGAAATGGAAAAACGTTCCATGCTCATGGATTGGAAGAACAAATATTGTGAAGATGTCAATGCTACCTAGAGCAATCTACATCTTCTGATTTTAAATTGGGTTGTATGTGTCCTACTATTGAGTTTCGCGTGTTCTTTATATATTCCGAATAAGTCCTACGTCAAATATGTGATTTGCAAATATTTTCTCCCAGTTTATGACTTACCTTTTTATTCTTCAAGTGTCTTTCAAAGAGCAGGTCTTAATTTTAATGAAGTCCTATTTATTGGTTTTTTTCTAGAAGTGTAATAGTTTGAGTTTTTACATTTAGTTCTATAATGCATTTTGAGTCAGTTTTTATAATGGGCATGAAATATGGATCGATCTTCATTTTTTTTTGCTATGTATATCCAAATGTTCCAGTACTATTTGTTGAAAACTATTTATATTCTGAATTGCTTTTAAAACCTTATAAAAAATCAGTTGTTCATGTACATATGAATCTATTACTGACTCAATTTTATTCCACTTATTTAATATCTATCCTTTCTCCAGTACCACACTGTTTTTTTTTTTTTTTTCTTCAGAAACCGCTCAGACTGCATCCTCTCCCTCTTACAGTCCCAAAGGAAGAGAAGAACGGTCGTCAGTGGCGAAATGCAGTTGCAGAAATTAACACCTAGAGCTGCTTCATGCTCACTAGAGAATACCACACCTCCTCCTTGTGTCCCACTGTCCACTGTCTTATTACCATAGGTCAACAGCAAGACTTGAGATCAGGTAGGATGAGTTCTCCAATTTTGTTCTTCTTTACTAAAATTGTCTTGACTATATCTAGCTTATTTGCTTTTCCATATATATTTTAAAACCAATTGTTGATCTCTACCAAAACTCTACTGGGATTTTGATTAGAATAGCACTGAAGAGATCCTGATCAAGATTAGGAATTGACATATAACTAATATTGAGTCTTCAAGTCCATGATCACAGTATATATTTCCATTTACTTAGGTCTTTTTTACTTATGTCATCAGTATTTTCTATTTTTCCACATACATATTTTGCACCAATTTGGCAATACATACCTTTGCACCTATTTATGCCTAGATATTTTATGGGTTTTGGTGGTATTGTAAATGGTAGGTTTTGGTTATTATTTTATTTTCCAATTGGTCATTGCTAATATATGCAAATATGATTGATTTTGTGGATTGATCTTGTGTCTTGTGACCTTACTAAACTCACTTATTCTAGAAACCTTTCTGTAGCTACTTCAGGATTTTCTATGTAGAAAATTATGTTGTCTGTGAATAAACAGTTTTATTTATTTTTCTTGTCTGATTATACTGGCTAGAACCTCTAGTATGGTGCTGACTAGGAGTAGGGAGAACACACATCTTTTCCGTGTTCCTAATCTTAGGGGGAAAGCAATCAGTCATTAACCATTAAGTGTGATATTAACAATAGGAACTTTTGTAGATTTTTAAAATCAAATTGAGAAAACTGAGTTTGTTGAATGAATGTTGAATTTTATCAGATGCTTTCTTTGAGGTGATCATATGGTGTTTCTATAGTCTGTTGTTATAATGAATTAAATTTCTAAATGTTAAGCCATCTTTATACTCCTGGGATAAGTTCTACTTGGTTGAGATGTATTACCTTTTAATATACTTTAAATGTAACTTACTAGTATTTTGCTGAGGATTTAAAAAATCTAGGTTCATGAGTGCTGCTGGTCTGAAGCTGTATTTTCTTTGCAGCTTATTTTTCCTGATTTTAGTATTAAGGTAATGCTGGCCTAATGAAATTAGCTGGGAAGTGTTCCTTCCTTTCTGTATTTTGGAAAAATTTATATAAGATTAATATTATTTTTTCTATTAATGTTATGTAGAATTTGCCAGTCAAGTTATCTGTGCCTGTTGGAGAGTTTTAAAAAAAACTATTATTTCAATTTCTTTAATAGATATAGGACTGTTCAGATTATATATTTCTTCTTGAGCTTTGTCTGTGCTTTTCAAGGAGTTCCTCCTTCAGGCTTTTGTCTTTCCCCCAGGCCTGCACCATGAGAAATGCTTGTTCAGATATCTTGCTTTGCTTCAAACCTTACTTGTGAGCACTGGTGGTTGTGGATTTCCCTTCTCTTTATGGCTTCCAGAGGTTTTATACTCTCATTCTTGCTCATATTTGCCTTTTAGCAATTCATGGACATTTTAGCTGAATTCTTCATATTGACTTGTATGGTGTCTAGTGGGTCTGTTCCTGTTCTTCATTGATTTTCATGAAATAGTTGTTCTTTATCCCAGCAACCACCAAAAACAACTTCGCAAAGAAATGGCATCATCAAAAGAAATATAGTAGAATCTAATGTTGAAACTTGTCAACACCTAATAAATAAAATCTTAAAAAAAATTCTCTCAAATAAATAAAATCTTAAAAAGAAATGTGTGGGGGAGTACCTGGATGGCTCAGTCGGTTGGACATCTGCCTTTAGCTCAGGTCATGATCCCAGGGTACTGGGATCAATCCCCACATTAGGCTTCCTGCTCAGTGGGGAGTCTACTTCTCCCTCTGCCCTTCCCCTTGATTGTGCTCACACACACACACACACTCTCTCTCTCTCAACTAAATAAATCTTAAAAAAAAAAAAAGAAACTGTCAATACCTTGAGTGACTAACTCAAGCCATGTCCAACAGATGTCTTATATCACTGTTTCTCTCAAATACGTAAAATATTCTACTGTGCCCCTGTGAGTTCACTCTGACACCCTGGGGCACCTTAGTGCATTGTTTGGGAATGCAGGCCTTGCCATGTTGCTGCTATAGTCATCACAGACAATTTAAAAACCTATGACCTCTCATCACTTCCTTTTCCAGTATAACCTTCTTCAAATTTAGCAACCGCATTCTACTTTCTGAGCACATCAGTATAGTCACACATCATTTCTCATTTTCTATTACCATTCTTCTGCCATTTTGTACCCCAAAGACTCAACTCTGAGTCCATTCTATTAGGCTAGAAAATCACCTACCATCCTCTTACTTCCGTATCTGTGTAATCACTTTCTCAGTCCAGTGGAATACAGTACTTTTCTTATCTCTATTGACAATTCTTGAAACTTGTAAATTCAGTATTTGAAATAATAAATTTTTAAAAATCTTATTAATACCTTGTTTCTTATGACCAGCATGACAGCACTGAATGCAGAGTTGGAAAGAAATGTGCAGTTGCATACTATAGATGTAAAAAGCTAAAGAGCATGGATAGCAGTAAAATATAGCAAAAAAAATAGGATGTGATGAGTTTTTAGTACTTACTGCCTTTGTTTTAAAAATAATTTATTTAATTGTAAATTTACACAATTAATTTTAAATAATGGTCATGTTTAACAATCAGCTTATGAAAGTTCTGAAAATTTAACAATCAGCCAAGTTGGGCTGGCTTCAGCCACTACTCTTCCCGAGGTTAAAGTTTTAGTTATAAAATTAAAAGATCAAAGGGCATGGGAATTCTTTGGTTCATATTCATTTTGTCAGGTTGTTGTTACCCCTTAAGTTTTACTTTATGATAATTGCTCTTGCCTTGATTTCTATTTCAATATTTGATTGCCCATTGGAACTTGAAATTGGCCATGGTTCAAGTATGTACACTACATAAATTGGAAAACGAAACGAATGAGAGCTTCTTCCACTCCTCCTTCCCCCACCCCACAGAGGGCAGTTTTTAAACATTATTAACATACTGTTCTTTTTAGGATATAATTTAAAAGTAAAATAAAAGGCTATGCCTGAAGAAATGTGGCAGAATTACTCATTGCAAAAAAAAAAAAAGAACTGAAAACACTTTAAATTACAGGTTGGGACTGGTTAATAATTTATAGTTTTATCTCTCTGAAACACTATCAGTCCTTATAATACACATAGGATGTCTAGACACATGGACTACTGTAGAGATATAAAACAATGTTGAGTGAAATTTTTACAATTATGTAAAAACTTTATATAGAGAGGGATAAAAATTAGAAAATGTCACAGAAAAATTTTAAATGTTGTTTAGGTGAAGGCACATTACATCCAAAAAGTATTTTAGTTTCAGTGATTTCTCATTTATTTTATATATTGAATCCAACATATCTTTAACTCTAAGCAAAGACTTTTGTATTTATTTCTTGTTATAATGCTATTTTGGAGAGATGAATTATGAGACTAAGAAAACTTAAGTGGTCTTGGCAGAAACAGTATATAATGATCCTGAAAACTAAAATACTAACTCTAATAATAGTAAATTTTTAAGATGCTTTCCAGTTTACAAGCATTTTAACATATGCCATTTCACCTAATTGAGGTGGATATTACTTTGTTTTGTAGTTAAGGAATCTGTACCTCAAATAAATTCAGTGACTCAATCAAAACCATACTACAAAGGGAATAAGTAGGTCAAGTCTTTTATTTTCCTTGGGAGGAATTATTTATTTTTATTTGTAAATGTCCATATCAGGGAATGCAATTATACATTTTAACGATGTATTCTTGTTAGCAATACTAAAGTCATAACATAAACATAATATATGAAGGCAAGGGGAACGTACACATCGGTAGAAAAGCATTTTCATACAGCCTTAAATTAGCTGATGGGCAAGGAGTAACTTAAGTAGCAGCATGTATGGGAGTATGACATAGGGGCTGAGCGGAGCTATGAGACCAAGAAGACCTAGCTTTGTATCTAACATCCCTATTGACATTCTTGCTGTGTGAATGTAGGCAAGTTACTTAAGCTCTTTAAACCTAGGTCTTCTCTGGAAAATGGGCATAATAGTTCCTATTTAACAGTGTATTTTTAAGCATTGAAAATATCCTGAGGAACCCAGCACTGAATAGTCCCTCAATTATTGTCAACATGTTGTTAGAATTATGTCTTATTAATTTTCTGTGTAAAATTTTAAGAAAAAATTCATTTTGATTTTTTAAGAAATAATTTATGTTTAACACTTAGAACATTTAACATTTTAATTAATATATCCTATCTGTATATGCCTGTGTATACACGCATGATTATGTAATATATAAATTAAGTACTTGTAGGGGCGCCTGGGTGGCTCAGTTGGTTAAGCGACTGCCTTCGGCTCAGGTCATGATCCTGGAGTCCCGGGATCGAGTCCCGCATCAGGCTCCCT